TGAAGCCCCACGGCTTTCCAACCTCTGGGAATGTTCTCTGTTGAAGCTGCAGGCTCTGGGCAAAGGTCCAGCCGCCAGCAAGAGCAAAGATGACCTGGTGGTGGCCGAGGTGGAGATCAACGACGTGCCCCTCACCTGCAGGAACCTGCTGACCAGGGGCCAGACCCAGGACGAGGTAGGAGCGCCCCGGCAGCACTTCTGGGGCTGAAGTTACATCTCATCTTTACCTTTTGAGCCCACAAAATGAACTCAGAGTCAGGTTTGACCCGTGGGGTCGAAGGGACCCGGGGCAGGTTCCGTTCGGTCGTTCCGCTGTGTTTTTGTTCCCCCCAAGGGTGGTTTGGTGAGGTCAGAGCTGCTCTCCCACCACTTCACTGAGGGTGAATCCGAAAAACCGGTCTGAGAAACTGCTCAGAGACTTTGATCTTTTGAGCAGCAAAGGTGTTTATTTGCAGCGCTGGGAGCTGGACAAACTTGCTCACCGGCTCTTCAGAAAATCAGCACTTTTATACAATTTTTAGATGTGATTAAATGCACATTCAAATGATTACAACACCTATCAATACATATTAAAAATAGGTGGAGAATAGGTGGAACTTGGGGCGGTGCTTCTCTTGGCTCCCCATTTTGAGGGGGAGTTCCCATCTTCCTCCATGGGCAGGGGGCTTTAACTCCTCTTCCTCAGCTTGACCCTTCTTCCTTTCCATTGTTCTTGACCCACTCACTGAAGCTCAGAAAAAGCCCTGGCTCCAGACCTATTTCTCCTATTCCAATGTCTCCCTGATCCTGTTATATTTCTAATTTATTGCCTCTAGGCCTATTTCATGTTCTTGTACTGTCCTCTTAAGCTTTTGGTCCAGCAAGTAGAACAGAACGAGCACAGATCGTTTTAGATGTTGGTAACTTGTTTGCAGGCCCAAATTTCTTACTTAACTCTTTTGGGCCTGCCCCCCTGTATCAAGGGCTTTGGGGTTTTCTAATCAGCTGAATTTTGGGGTTTGGTGAGTGCTCTGGTGGTCACTGAGCCCCCGGGTTTCCCTCTGTCCCAGATCAGTCGCCTGAGCGGAGCCGCCGTGTCCACCCGGGGCAGGTTCATGACTGCAGAGGAGAAAGCAAAAGTGGGACCTGGGTTCGTAGCTCTTTTTTCTGGGGTTCTGATTTCTTCTCTCCTTGGGAGGGGGATTGCTGAGGCTCCTCTTTGGTTTGATCTCCATGAGCAGTTTTGCTCATCATTTGCCACAAGTAATAATTTTCCACAAGTAATAATTTGTCATAATTCATATTTTTGCCACAGTTCATATTTTTACCACAACTCATAATTTGCCTTTTTTCCTAATTTGCCATAATTCATATTTTGCCACAATTCCTAACTTGGCATTTTTATATTTTGCCTCAATTCATAATTTCCCACTATTCATAATTTGCCACTTTTCATGCTTTGCCACTTTTTATAATTTACCATTTTTTCATAATTTGCTATTTTTCCATAATTTACTATAATTCATAATTTGCCACTATTCATAGCTTGTCATTTTTCATATTTTGCCAGAATTCATAATTTCCCACAATTCATAACTTGCCATTGTTCATTTTTTACCACAATTCATATTTTCCGCAAGTCATAATTTGCCATTTTTTCATATTTTGCCATAATTAATTTTTTACCATTTTTCCTGTTTTTCCATGTCATATTTTGCCAGAATTCATAATTTGCCACCATCCATAATTCAACTTTTTTAATTATTTGCCATTTTTCATAATTTGCCATCATTCCTAATTTGCCCCAGTTCCTGATTTGCCATTTTGCTGGTCCTGCCCACACAACTTCTCCCTTCCCTGCCTGATATTGTTTGAAATTCCCACCACAGATCCCACTGTGCTCGAGTTCTTCCCACCCTCTGCAGCTTCCCAAATCCAAATTTCTCACTGCTTTTAGTGCTGTGCACAAAGAAATTCAAGTTTCTGCTGTTGTAACTGTAATAAATCATCACACAAACGCATTTTTTCGGTGTTTCCTGAGCACTGTGATACTCCAGGGGCTTGCATTCCCTTATTTGAGGGGATCTTTGTGGCAGCCTTGCTGTAAAGTTCAGTTGAACCCGTAAATTGGAGCCATTTCGTGTGCTGTCCGTGGCTTTCATGGGATTTTTGACATTCCCTCCCCAGGGACCGTCCCTTGTACCTCCACGTGCAGGGGCAGACGCGGGAGCTGGTGGACAGTAAGTGCCAAACATTCCATTTTTCCTGGTTTATTTGGGACAAAGGGGCCGTGGGAGCGCCCTGGGTGGGTTTGTGCTGGGAATGTCTCGGGGTTGATAACGGGCTGTGTTTGAACACTGGGAAAGGTCTGCCCAGAAATTCCCGAGGTCCCGCCTGCTGCATCCCGCAGGAAACCTCGGAGACACCACAGGGAAGGTGGGGGGAGTGGGTGATCTCATGGATAACACACCCAGATCCCACTGGAACAGGAGGGAGTGACAAGAAGGGACCACAGTGGGTCACCAGGCAGGATCATCCCAGAGCACGTGGGATGTGTCCAGGTGGCTCTGGAATCATCTCCTTCCACCCCCTTCTCCAGCCCCAGCTCAGCTCTCCCTCAGACCAGGAGCTCCCTGCAGGAGCAGGAGAGATGGAGGCAACAATTCCCTGAGAATCCTGGGATGGGGCAGGTCAGGAGGGACCTCAGGGGGTCACCTGGTCCCACCTCCCTGCTCAGGATCATCCCAGAGCACGTGGGATGTGTCCAGGTGGCTCTGGAATATCTGCAGGGAGGGACACTGGGCAGCCTGGGCAGCACTGGGGACAAGGTTTGGCTGTTCCATTGGGGTGGGATTCATGGAATGGCACTGGGTCACTGCCCAGGGAAGTTCTTCCTCGTGCCCAGGTGGAACTTCTGGGCATCAGTTTTGTGTCCTGTTTTTGGGCAACCCCAAGCAGAGCCTGGTCCATCCCCTGCAGGCACTGACACACCCTGGGGAGGTCCCCTCTCGGTGTCCCCTGGTCACAGAGATGCTCCAGCCCCTTCAGCATCCTCACAACCTCCCCTGGACCCGCTCCAGGAGCTCCATGGCCCTCCTGTCCTGAGGAGAACTGGCCCCACACTCCAGCTGTGCCTCCCCAGGGCTGGGCAGAGGGGCAGCATCACTCCCTGACCTGCTGGGAATTCTCTTCCTGATGCCCCCCAGGACACACAACAGCTCGTTGAGACCCCCAGGGCCTTCCCTGCAGAGCTACTTCCCAGCCTGGGCTGGTGCCTGGGGTTGTTCCTCCCCATTGCAGGACCTGAAATGTTGGTGTTTGTCCTAAAACGTTGGTGTTTGTCCTAAAACGTTGGTGTTTGTCCTCTAAAACGTTGGTGTTTGTCCTAAAACATTGGTGTTTGTCCTAAAACGTTGGTGTTTGTCCTAAAATGTTGGTGTTTGTCCTAAAAGGTTAGACCAGGCTTTATAGGGTGGGAGTGGCCAGGGAACCCTGATATTCCTTAGAAACAATCCCGAGTTGGAAGGGATGCTCAGGGATCATGGATTGCAGCCCCTGGCCCTGCCCAGACCCCAGCAGTCCCCCCTGGCCCTGGGGGTGTTGTCCCAACCCTCCTGGAGCTCTGGCAGCCCTGGGGCCGTGCCCGCTGCCCTGGGGAGCATTCCCAGGGTCTGACCATCTGGGGGAAGAACCTTTTCCAAGTATCCAGCTTCAATCCCCTTCCAGAGCTCCAGCTGCTCCCCCGGGGTGCCATCCTTGGTGGTGCCATCCTTGGTGGTGCCATCCTTGGTGATCCCATCCCAGGTCACCGGTCTCGGGCCCCACAGGATGATGAACCCCTGCTGCCTGTCCCCTTGTCACAACAACCCAGTTGTGTCCCAGTTTGGGTCGAGCTGGAAAACAGGGATGAATTTCCTTTTGTCCCTTAGGAGCCGTGAACAGAATCAAGGAGATCATCACCAACGGGGTGGTGAAAGCAGCCACGGGCTCCAGCCCCACCTTCAACGGGGCCACGGTCACCGTGTACCACCAGCCAGCCCCCATCACCCCCCTGAGCCCGGCCGTGGGGCAGAAACCGCCCTTCCAGTCCGGGGTCAGTGCTCGTGGGGAGTCATGGAGTGGGTCTGGGGACAGGGGTTGGGGTGGGAGTCATGGAATGGCTCTGGGACAAGGGTTGGGCTGTTCCATTGGGGTGGGATTCATGGAATGGCTCTGGGACAAGGGTTGGGGTGGGATTCATGGAATGGCTCTGGGACAAGGTTTGGGCTGGGATTCATGGAATGGCTCTGGGACAGGGGTTGGGGTGGGATTCAT